AAAAAGACCAAACGAAAAACATAAAGAGGGGATTCGGCTTCATGCTCAAGAAATTTAAAAAGATTCTTTGGACAGGTTTTTGAGATACGACGTTCGACATTCGTATCCGTCAGATGGGCAGACTAGCACTAAAACTACACTTTAAGTATTCTGGCTCTACCTCAGCAACGAATTGATGAACAGCGCCCAAACTAAACATGAATGTAGAAGTAGGAACAAAGTTCACTAGCACAGAAATCGAATGATCTACATGCAATAGAAATCGAAATAACAATTTTTAACTTTGAGCTCAAGTTTTTTCTTTGAAAAAGCCTGCTCYGTGTATACGAGATCATATTTTAAGTTGCACTCGACATAATTTGTCTAAAATTTTCACACACATTTGTAATACCACAGAGTAGTGACTAAAGGCAAAAAGGCTGAGAAAACCGCGAAAAAACTCATTTCTCGACTTCTTGCAGCACAGCTTCGAACCAAAACAAACCGACAAACCAACTGTCAAAGTCATGAGTTTAGCGCGAATATGCTAATCTAGGATATTTTACGGTCTAGCGATCAGTTGTCAAGCCAAAGAAGTCGGTAACTATGGGTCTTTTTTTGCTCTTTTTGGAAAGAAATCAGGAGAAATAAGTACTAAATAAGATTATTTGGACTTAAAATAAGCGATTGGAATGATGTTTTTTTAATTTTTCGAAAATTTCGAAAATACCCTAAAAAGTCACTTTGGCCATTTTCATATACAATGTCATATATATCTAATTCTTTCCGCCATTACGCCAAGTTTAATCTCATTCCATACTTAGACTAATCCTGAATTTTCAACCCAGGAAACCACAAAGAGAAAGCAATCTCAAGACCGCCCTAAGAAGGATAAAAGGCCGGCCAAGGCACAGAAAAAGTCTGTTGAAAAAGAAAGAAATCAGGTTAGTACTTTGTTATTTCTTTGATTCACTTCAAGTGCTTTAGATTAGAAGTTTGTAAACGAAGTTTATATCAGTATTACAATGTATACATTAACTTTTCTAGATAGTCAAAAAAGAGCAACAAAATAAATAATTAATGATTTTATTTTTTCAGGCAATTGTCATTGCTACTTATAGCCCTGCTGGACCGTCAACATCAAGTGATGCAGAACCAGAACCAGAACCTGAACGACCTGCACCAGCTCCCTCCACACCTGCGACACCACAACACCAGCAGCCTTATCGTAGACTAAGCTTTAGTCCTAGATATTCCACCATTTCCCCGTGTTCTTCACTGTGTAGCTTGATATGTCAGCCTTCTATATCTACGCTTGATGCCACCTATTCTCACCATTCATCGTCACTCCTAAGAGGACCAGCTCCAACTGCTCCTTATCAGACGCCAACGCCTGTTATCTCTACGCCTACCTCGACTGTAACTTTGCCAACTCCTGATCCCGCCACTGTCATTACACCTTCACCAGATCAACTAGCCAGCCGACTTCCGATGAACCGAGAAGCGTCCACAAACCTCAAGATTATTTCGACATCTCACTGTAACTTTGCTGTTAATTTGTTACGGAAATATTTTATGACAGATGACCTGATCAATAAGAACATTGCCGGTGTACGTGGAAAGGGCAAAGTAGATCCAGAAAGGATTTCCCAAATTATGGCAACAGTGTACGATTACTATCCGACTCCTCCAGCACAGAAAGAAGCAGTCTGGCGAGAATGCCGAAAGTCTATGGAG